AAATGAGGGCCAAACTCCACAAGACCTTCACAAACTCATCATTTCGGTTTGACCTGGCAGAGCTGAGCAAACTTTAGCATCTGCTCTGTGGCAAAATGCGGTGCAAAATATAATGAATCACTTGGCTTAGAGTGTGGGGCTTTCTAAAGAGGAATAAGTTTGTCTCATTTCTCTCTCCTTCCAGACAGCTGGACTGTCAAATTTTTTACCGAGGTAAACCTCCACCCAACCCCAATTTCGGTGGTTGGTGTAACACAATCCATAAGATGTTTCATTTATAAAACACTCAAAACCACTATTTTTTCACTTCATTAGTCCAATTCTGAAATTCACAACATTGCATGAGAGAGACACATTAAATACTCTAATAGTCAAAATGACTTTGTTTGTACCAGCCAGAAGCCTCTACATGCCATGATAAATCATGGATTCTGTCTTACCTGAACTGCTTGGTTTTAACCGCTTCCATTGAAGATGCTTCCTGCTATGGGCCTGGAAAACAGACTCTTCTACATGCAAACATTTGCTAAAGGAAGTTCTGAAATCTGGATCTGAGGCTCTCTGTCGGCCAGACGCTGCTGTAAATCACGGCACTTCAAACCCCTTCTTTGACCGCACCGCCAGGAAAGTTCACCCCAAGAGTCACCCTCCTTCTAAACACGCCAAACGAGAGTGGTTTGGTCTGATTAATTGAAGTCCTGTGGGGATGATAGTAGCTGAAGACTGAACCAAAGACCCAGAAGAGCCCCAAAATCCAGAGATAAATTTCTGCACACATACATTCCTCCAGATGGGAAGAGAAAGAAACTTAGCACAGGTTTTGCACCAAAGGCACACACCACAATTAAATTTAAGTAAATTTTAGAAGCAATCAAGGACATATTTAATTAAACAAATGAAACAAAGCTTTCAAGGACGTATTTAATTAAACAAAGTACATCAAGAGAAGTTTATAATATGGATATACTGCATGCTTCAGTGGTTCTTTGCTTCACCATAATTTCACAATTTACCTACTACATCAGCTGCTTTATAGTGTTCTTGAGTTGGCTACATGGTTCTTTAGAAGTTAAAAATATTGAGTTTAACATTATAGGTTCTTAAGATCTGTTTCTGGGTTCCTTTCAAATGAACTTGTGTTACAGGAGTTCATTTCTCTCAGAATTTTCTCCTAAAGTAAACTGGGACAATTGTAGACATAATATTGCATAGTATTACATGACAAATGTGATCCCAATTTGAAACATTTTTTAAATCTTTTATGAAAAGTGTGATATTGAGGGTCTTATTCTTAGGGTAGAGTTCTGAGAAGCAGAATACATTAGCAAAAGTCCCATTTTGTTCTCCATTCAACTTCATTGTTGTCCTAAAATGACGATATCTCCTGTGTGATTTTTCTTGCTTAGGAGAAAGGGTAAAAGAAAAGTTTTTTTGTAAACCTAAATAGGTTCTTTTTGGCATCAGGCTGTAAAAGCTTTTTGGGTTCTTACTGGATTGTAGACATGATGAAAATATCCCACTGTGAAAGGGAGGCTATACAGCTCATTTAGAGCTGATATGAGATCAGTTGTTGATGTAGCGGCGGAGGAAGAGTTCAGGAGGTCTGATCGGGCCTGTGCTCTGAGGACTCGAGGAGGAAGTAGACCAGTGACTACAGTGTGATTGATGAAGCGAGCTCACCTAACTGCATGCATTAGCTCTCTCTAAACATTCTGGGCTCACTTATTGATATTTCCATCTGTCATCTCCCCCCCTCCGCCACCCCGTACCCACCAGCCACCGGCTGTAAGGTCATTTTTTATACCGAGATACTTTTGAATCAAAGGGAATGACGTGTTGCCTCAGTGTGTCGGATCATTTGGCCGACTCCTCCGGATTTAATGACATCTGGGAGTGAAAGGGGGGACGGGGCATTGATATTGATTTGTTAAGGCGTAATGCACCGTATGAATCTGAAAGAGGTATGCCTGACCCGCGGAATGTGTAGTAATGTTAATGCACTTTGCATTAAAGGACCGCTAACACATGTTTTTATGGCAGTGTGATTAAATTTAGAGCTCCGTAAACATCAGGAGGGTCCTATGGCGGAGTTCTGCTCCCATTACTCTTTGCTCTGCTCTTTATATCGTTTACTGGAAAGCCGTGATTAGAGGCAAAATGACACAAGAACGCATAACAAGAAAATAAGACCGAGTACACGCATCTCCGGAGAGAACGAAGCGTTTTACCCTGCCAGGGAGAGAAATATCGAAGTGCTCTTTGCTGAGGCGGTATGAGATGAACATGGGTTGTTTTTTCGAGATGTTTTATTGAGTTCGTTGGATACAAGGCGAACTAAGACAGCATCGGTGATGTAGTCCAGGGCTGCGTTTCCCAAAAGCATCGCAAGCTTAAAGGAATAGTTTACCCAAAAATGAAAATTCTGTCATTAATTACTCACCCTCACGTCGTTCCAAACCCGTAAGACATCTTCGGAACACAAATTAAGATATTTTAGATTTTTTTATTTTTCTTTGCATACAAAAAGTAATCTCGTAGCTTTGTAAAATTACGGTTGAACCCCTGATGTCACATGGATTATTTTACCGATGTCCTTGCTACGTTTCTGGACCTTGATCGTGGTAATTACATTGCTGTCTATGGAGGGTCAGAGAGCTCTCAGAATTCATCAGAAATATCTTAATTTGTGTTCCGAAGATGAACGGAGGTCTTACGGGTTTGGAATGACATGAGGGTGAGTAATTAATGACAGAATTTTCATTTTTAGGTGAACTATCCTTTTAAGTACATCATAGACCCATTGAAACCAAGGAAGCTACGATCAACTTTTGGGAAACGCAGCCCAGGTCGTCGATCATATAATCAGTGGGGTTTAAAGTGTATTGCTGATGGCCAAAGAAGAAAGTGACACAAAAAATTGGAGAGAGGGATAAAGTCATGCAGTGTGAAGGGGGTTGTTCTCTGGGCCTCGGTGATAAGGCGAGATGTCTGGAGGAGCTTCAGCTTGTGCTTGTGCTGCTACAGCTGGTGTTTGGCCTGGCTTGGCCCTTTGACAGTAATTCCAGACCTAGATTAGCTGTCATCTGATGCCAAATCTCACTCCAAACCCCCCGCCTACTGCCCCCTCACCTCTGGCCCCGGCCCTGCCCTCTCTCCCCTCCAAGACCTCCAGAAAACAGAGTCGTGTGATGTTCTGATTCATGTAGACAACACTCTCAGTCGGCAAAGTGAAGCAGCTTTTGAGTTTTCTTTGTTTATCATGTGATTAGATTTTTTGAGGAAGTATGTTTTATTTTTTGTCAAAGTCTTTGGTTTCATTCCAAAAACCTGCCTCCTGATCATAGACGTGGTCCAAATGCAAAAACATTTCTAAAAGGTAGGCAGTTTTATGCTGCCTGCTAAGAAATCTTCTTTTAAGCCAATTTCAAAAGCCAACACTTTTTTTGTGAAGTAAGTGATGAGTTTAGTGGGAAAAATAAATGGTGGCTGAGACAAAAAATTAATGAAATGGATATAAATTAAATTCTGAATTAAATTTAATTTAATGAAAAATGTCAGGTGGTATAATCTTTTATTATCTCTTAGAAAAATAATTTTACCAAAAATGCTTTAGCAGGTGTGTCAGCCGCACTTGTGAGTCTCTCAGCTGGAGCCTTCACACTATGGACAGAAAAAAAGGTTTTTAAGGTTTTAACTCAAGTTCACACACAACATTTTCAAGGTTAATTCAGGTTGTAAAATGTCATGTGGTGCGATTGCCCCCAAAATTTGTATATTTATGAAAAATCCTTTTTATTTTTGACAGTTTTGGAAAACGATAGATGTAAGGGAAATATATTATTACATTTTCCTTTATGGTTACACTACTTGACATGCTTTTTAATATATTGTTTCATTCTAGCATCGTCTGTATTTTTATAAAGCACGGGTTGCTGCCTATGTAGGAAATTTCAAATCTGTCGTTTATGAGATTCCATTCCAGTATGAATGTAGGCAGGTTTTAGCACAGACCTTTTGTGTGTAGGCTTTTGTTGACCCCGTGTGTTTCTTTTGATTTCATCTCGTCTTTGTTTCACTTTGATATTCTCTTAAATTGGATGAAGCACCCTGGTATGGCTTCTCATAGCGTGAACACTTGATTTGAGTTTGCTGTCTTATGTTCTGTAGTGTCTGTAGTGAAGGGGGCTGCTTTGATGGTTTGGAAGATGGAGGATGGAGCAGGTGTGTCAACCACACTGGTGACAGACCATTAGAGTCTCTCGGCTGGAGCCGTTAGATCTTATTCATGTAATCTTCACACTGTGGACAGAAAAAGAGGATCTGAAGAACTCAAGTTCGTGTGTGTGTTTGCTGTGTCTGTGTCTACAACACATCCTGTTTTCTTGTGAACTGCAAGGCTTCATATCAGTATCAGTAAATAAAAAAGGCTTCATATTCAATATCAGAAAAAAACATGGTCATACGTGTGACGTGAGGGTAAGTGAACGATGACAGAATTTTAATTTTCAGGTGAACTATCCCTTTAAGAGTCGAATGCTTTTTAGTACCTCTGCATTCGACTGCACATGAAGTCACAGTTCCACCGAAGTAACTGCAGTTTCTGTGTCTCAAGTCGTACCTTCCTGCAGGTGCTCAATTTGTGTTTAAATTGCCCTAGCCAGCAAACTCATTTCAGAAGAGCTGGACTGAAGCCAGATCATGTGAAAACCCTTAATGAAGTGGCTTTCTCTCTCTGAACCCCTGTCAATCTCTGCTCATCCACTTCCACTTGGTCATTCCAGTCAGTTTGGCCCTTAGCGCCAAGTCCCCCTCGACCAATCCCATCCTGTCACATACAACATGGAAAATATCTGCACTATGAGTGACAGGAGCTACTAGCAATTTCTCTTTCGAGTTTTGTGTTAAAAGATGTTACGTTCTCAATCTTCGGCCTGTCATTTTGAGAAATTTTGCGAAAGTTTTGTCGATCTCAACTAAGTTGTTTTTCTATATTTCCTCAGATTCTTGCATGGTGAATACACAGTGGAGGTGGCCATCAACGACTACCTGGACATCTACTGTCCGCACTACGAGGACCATCTTCCTCAGGAGCGCATGGAGCACTACATCCTTTTCATGGTCAACTATGACGGCTACACCACCTGCAACCACCACATGAAAGGCTTCAAGCGCTGGGAATGCAACCGCCCAATGAGTCCGAATGGGCCCCTCAAGTTCTCAGAGAAGTTCCAGCTGTTCACACCCTTCTCTCTGGGCTTCGAGTTCCGCCCAGGCCACGAATACTACTACATCTGTGAGTAACCTCCTCCTTTCTTACTCTAATTCTTCAACTTCAAACCCCTCGTCTGCGTTTTCCTGTGACCAGGTGTCAGTATGGCCCCAAAGTGCAATCATTCATTGAACGAATGGTTCTTGGGTTACAGGAACTGGGGTGTAAAGGGTAAAGGAAGACTCGATAAGGACGGGCAGACTTCACAACAACATCTGATCAATAACATGTGCCACATGGTTCAGTCTGCTGAAACCTGTTATTTAGTCTCTAGAGACATATGGCTGAATGCACAAATAAAATACATGCCAGTCCATCTTTGGTTAATGCTATAACGATATGGTTTGGAGAACCGAACACAAAATGTAACTGAAACTTAAAATTACAGGTTGCACATCTTGAATTTACATTAAATAAATCTGTTATGCACAATGTTGTATATAGAGCAGGATATTGTTTGTAAATGGCTGGCTCATCTACAGTAGCCGTGTTTTACCAGAGTAAACAAAGAGTAACATAAGTCTCCTGAAGTTTCCCTGATTTGACATCGCAAGAATAACACTCAATTTTAGATTCCCTCTCGATTTTTGTGTTGTTATTTCCATGGTGTTTGTTTCTGAGGGACGATTTTCTTGATTTGATGAAGATTGAAGGAATGGGTCACCACCTAATAAAAAAGTAATTTTTTAAAAATACATTTATTTTATAATTATAATGAAACTTTATTTGAAGTACTACTTGTGCATAATGCACATTTCTTAATATTAAGCCTAAAATGTGTTTTAACGTCACTATTGATGAGGATTGTGTGATCTATGAATAATACAGTATGTGCCTTTAAATGCAAGATATTTAAAGTGTATCTAAAGTATACTTAGTTCCACTTTAGCACAATCAAATATACTTCAGTATATCTTTAGTTGGACTTCAGCACTACTTCAGCACAATTAAAGTGCATTAAGTACAAAATTAGTTTTTCCAATTTAGCAGACTTTTACGTATACCAGTTTAGTATACTAAAAATACAATTGCAGGGTATTTTTATTAAGCACATAAATATGTAAATGTATTTGTATTATACTTTGTCTGAAATAAATGTATTTTAAATACATTTTAGTATATTTATTTTTCACTAGGGTTAAAAGGGATAGTTCACCTAAAAAATTAAACTTGTCATCACCATCTTGTGATTCCAAACCTGTATGACATACTTTCTTCAGTGGAACATAAAAGAGAAATTTTGCAGAATGTTCATGCTGTATACAATGAAAGCGAGTGGGGACAAAGGGCTGTTAAGAAAATGACACCATTATTAGCATTTAGCACCATAAGTATTGTATTTTTATGGGACAAAAAACAGTATTGTTATGCAACTCATTGTATGCAATACTCTTTTTGTGTCATACAGATTTGGAATGAGATAAGGGTCAGTGACAGAATTGTAATTTTTGGGTGAACTACCACTTCGATTGAAAGATTTTGATGTTCGGCATGCATGACATTGTTCTCTTTCTAAAAAAAAAGCAACCTTTGGGTTACGAGTCCGACTCTCTAACCATTAGGCCACGACTACCTACTGCTTGCACCAGCATACAGTTATATTTTCACGGAAAATATAAAATCCACTGTGCATTACCATGAACTAGTCAGTCTTTTTTGACTCAAACTATTGTTCAGGTGTCCACGTTAACACATTTCTGCACAGTAGGAAGCTTTTTCTCTGTAAAACTGTTGTTTATGTTGCATTTTGGTGCGGCGTGCCAGGTGGACCACTCTTTTCCAGTGCTGGCCACTTTAAACTTATAGAAATGGTTTAAAAATCAATTATACTGTCATTTAAATGTCTGCCACGCTCTATTGCATTCGTTGAAGTCATGTTTGGTGCAGTTGGAGGTGGAGACATTTATTATAGCGATTTGAATGTCTAGGACTTTAATCAGAGGAGTCGAAGCAGAAAGTCCAGTTCTAGTGAAGTCACTTGGGAGCAGAGTTTGGCAGTGTCCTGGTGTCTCCGCCTGATGAAAATGTCAATTTGTTGAATGGCATGTGCACTATTAGCCATGCACTTTGCCGCTCTGAGTGAGATCGGTGCAAAACCAGTTACCAAGGCCATCATGCGTAGCTGTCCAAATTATGCTGATTGGTCAAATTATATTTAACAGAAGGATCCGGATGGGGGTAATTGCATCCACAGCTTCTGGGGTGCCAGCCATTACCATTATTCAGATAACAACAGCTAAAAGCCATTAACCTGGAGGGGGAGTTTTTGGCTCGGGATGGTGCCCGGACGACAGGCCTGACACCTCGTCCTCCGGAGGCGGCCCGCCCACCGCCTCAAGGTCAGACCTTCGCCCGGCCGGATGAATCGAGTGGGGTTCTGCTTTATCCTGTTCTTTCGCTCTCACTTGCATGACAGGGGGGAATTTGCCGGGGTGCATCTGTCCCTGTTTCACTAATGGTCTTGTGAAAGGTGTCCTTTGGCCTGATAAAAAGGGCTCCCGCTGGGCACAGGCAAAAGGAAAAGGCTCAGGGCAGCACGCAGGATGCATTAATGAGGCAGTTTCTCCTCTTTTTTGTTTTTTTCCCCCTCTTTTTTATTCTCACTTATGCTGTTTTCTGTATGTGTGTGTGTGTGTGTGTTTATTCCAACTTTCAGAAGAGAGAAGGGACTTTGAGAGCAAAGTTTTCATGTGATAAAAGAATGAAGCTTTTTATCCTAAACGAATGCAGCTCATTAAGTAGAACAGCATGATTTTTACCGCTCGCCATGCTTGCCGTGTCCCGGGTTGCCTTAGAACTGGCCCTGTGCCCTCAGAGCTCGGCAGTTCAGAGGTTTGGGGCTTGGGGGGACCCAACCTGTAGCTCCGCTCATGACTATAAACCTCCCATTGTGTGTCGGGACACCTGATCCTGAAAGCATAGTCACACAAATTGTTCTTTTGAAAGCTAAAAGCACATTTGTTCTAATAATCGCTGAAGAGTCATTTCTAATGGTTCGTGGCCATCTGTTGTATCTAACAGCCAAAGATTTAGAGGCCAGAAATACAGAGCAGGCTTTAAGGTTAAGTATGAAAATCTGAGAGCTTTCTGTGCTTAAAGGAGAAGTATTACCTTTTACTACTTAAAAAAAAAAGGCGCTAGCTTATCAACACCTCATGGTCTTAAAGAGTTAGCTCACTTCAAAATAAAAATGTTACTCTAAACCCAACTCAGTATCATGAGGAAACATCTTTATTTTAAGTTTTGAATTTGTACATTTTGAGTCATACAAAAGCATATGATTTTTAGAAGAAGAAAAAAACGAAGCATGAAGGTCCGACCCCTAGTAAAAAAGTAATATATTTAAAATAAATTTATTTCAAGTACAGTTCAAATCTATTAACATTTTTACTAACATATCGCTCGAGACTTGCTGATATAAAAATGATAATTAAACTTTAATTGGAGTACTACTTGTGCACAATGCACATTTCTTAAAATGTGTTTTAATGTCACTATTGATGAGGATTGTATGAACTTTGAATAATATCGGTCTTTAAATGCAAGATATTTAAAGTGTATCTAAAGTATACTTGTAATAGTTCCACTTTAGCACAATCAAATATACTTCAATATATCTTTAGTTGGACTTCAGCACTACTTCAGCACAATTAAAGTGCATTAAGTACAAAATTAGTTGTTCCAGTTTAGCACTTTAAGTACACCAGTTTAGTATACTAAAAGTACAGCTGTATGGTATTTGCTGGGTAAATGTATTTGTGGGATACTTAGCATGAAATAAATGTATTTTAAATACATTTTATCATATTTATTTTTCACTAGGGACCCTTACCCCACTTCTAAACCTTTGGTTGGGCATAGGCAGATTATACGAAAAGGTATGAATGAGATACAAATTTGTTTCGTTTGCCAAAATGGAAAATAGTTCCGAATTGCCATGATATTGTCATCCAAACCTTTTTGACTATCTTTCTTCAGTAGAACAAGACATAAAACCAGAAAGTTATGGCAGAAGAATGTTCGTTCTGCTCTTACATACAGTTCTTGCATACAGTGAAGGTGAATGGAGAACGGACACAGTCAAGCTCCAAAAGAGACAACAAAAATCACCATAAAGGATAACTCTCATTCACATTCAAATATGGAACATCAAGAATCATCAAACTAGGTTTGAAATTGCCATAGGCTCTTGCAACCGATCACATCAATGCAAGTTTGAATGTGCTGAAAGGGAAAACGAGATTTGATAGCTGTGGCAGAAGTGTTTGTCTTTTCCTTTACACAAAGCTATCGTGTGGCTTTAGGACACTTTGAATATAGCGCACAAGTCCTATGTATCTTACTTTTATGGTTTTTTTGGTTATTTTTAAAGCTTGATAGTGTAGCTTCAGTGACACTTTCATTGAATGGAAAAGAGCAGCTAACTGAAGAAGATGAGAAGAGTTTGGGTGAGAGAACAGGGACAGATTTTCATTTTTGAGTATACTATTCCTTTCATTTTAGTGTGATTTGTAAATGTGCTGCTAGTCTGACCCAAAGCAGGCACAGGGTGTCTCGAGTGGGTATCGCTTCAAATATCATGGCTGTCCAGGAAATTGAGGTGGTGGGCGTCACAGAAATGTCGCCAAACCAGCGGGGCGTCACAGACCTTCCTTCCATCCATGGGACGTTGTCATCCCAGTTGCGAGGGGAAAACGGAGACACAGAAGAGGGTCAATCAAAGAAAAAAGAAAGGAAAGAAAGAACCCAGGGTTCAAAGTTTGCACTCGAGGCCGGGTGTTTCTTATGCCTGTCCTGAGCTGTTTTTAATGCAGTCCGCCCTGTCGCTTGGTGCGAGACCCGCTATTGTGCACCTTTTGTTCCAGACAGCGGCCTGGGCTGAGAAGTACTTAGTCTGGCTATTCATCAGACGAGGCCGGCTCCTCCTCCAGAGAAGTGTTTGGCTACTATCAATATTGTTGCTGTCATGGCCCCTGGGGTTATGAGGCAAAGGGCTCTGCCACGGGGTTACTGGGGGGGTGACCGAGGCTTAGTTTGGTTATCCCACAACAATAGAGGTTGTCCATCACCTTTGGGTTGACCCCGCCTCGACCCACCGGAGAGGGTGACTGAGTGAATGGCAACTGTGACATTCTCACAGGCCTGTGTGAATTTCAGAGACTCCCAACACACACACACACACACACACACACACTCAGTACACCAGATCCCTGATAGCCCTCTGTTCATACACACATCTCAAAAATCTAAAATCTTCTTCATACTTACTTTCATCATAGCATAAGTTCATTTTTGTGTGTTTATTCAGTTTGCTTATTTCACCAAAAAATTGTGAAATGTGTCATTTTTTTAAATGTTAAAATCTTCTTTTAGGTCTGTTGAATACACAGAGTGAGCCAAAGTAAACAATTTGTTGGTTGATTTTCCTGAGAAGTGTAAACACTGTCTCTGAGGCACTTTCAAAACATTTCTCTGTTTGTTTGAGAATTCCAACCAGCCCGACATAGCAACACTGATGAATGATGAATAGAATTTGATTAAAAAAATAAAAAAATAAAAACAGCAACATTGTGAAATATCATCACAATTTGAGATAACTGAATCAAATCATAATATGCTGATTTGGTGCTCAAGAAATATTTCTTATTATCAATGTTGAAAACAGTTGTGCTGCTTCGTATTTGAATGGAAACCATGATCCCTTTTTGTTTTAGGATTCTTTTATCAGTAGAAAGTTTAGAAGAACAGCAGTCAAATAGAAACATTTTGAAATATTATACATTTCTTATTTTGATCAGTTGAATGCATTTTGGCTCAACCAATTTCGGGGCTGGGGCACAGCTAGTTGTTTTTTCTGACCAATGAAAGATGTGGTAGGAGTCTTTGAGAAACCTGTTTTTCCATTCAGTTTGGTAGACACTCATCAGCTTTGATGTGTTTTCACACACAAATTTACATACGTTTTATATAATATTTTAGAACATTTAAGTAGATTTCAGTCTTTGAGTAGATTTTTATGACTGAATTAAACTGTATAATTACCATTTTAATGTACAGTATTTCAAAATACTTAAAGGTGCAGTAGGACATATTGGAAAATGCTAACTTTAGCCTGATAGCACTGAAAGCGAACGTCCCACCCTCCCTGCAATCACTGTCCAAAGCCACGCCCCCTGAACGCATGAACGCACACAGACCAGACGACCAGAGACAACATTACTACAATACATCATGTGTCATTCACCTGTGAGAAAACTTTATAGTACAGTTAGTAACAGTACTACAATACCAGGAAGGAAGATCAGGTTGTTGATGTTTGTCTGCCATTCTCGCTCTGTCTGCACAGCGTACGTGAACGCGCTGATGACGTATCATGTCTGCGCGAACCGGGTGCGCAGAGGTATGCAAATTTAATTGGATGAACATTTCTTGGTCCTATACCTTCCACAGAATATATAAATACATATAAATACATTTAGACCACTTATCTTATTGATTGCTATCGGGATGTGATGAGACTTTCAACCAGCATAACAAAAAAAGTTTCTGAAGACAATCACCTATTGCACCTTTAAATACTTAAAAGAAATCAATAGTAATACTGTTGTATATGTGAAAAAAATTGTAGTACAATGCTACTTTTTGGTACTTTTTTTGTTTAGTCTTTTTTGTTTTATGAAATGCAGTAGAAAGGAATTGTCTGAATAACAAAGTGATTTCTGTTGTCCACTAAACTAAAATGTAAGCTTAGATTTTAGTTTTTTTTTAACATGAGATGTATAACATTATAGCATGAGAACACCATGTGCCAATTTTACGTCCACACACTTAAGAACACCTGTTAGAGCAGAATTCACCCAAAAGAAGCTTTTTGTGCAGAACACATCAGCTCTCCATTAGCTGAGCCGCTGAGTGATTTGTGGTAATTGCTAAAGGAATTTTTATGTATCTGAAGAGCAGACAGAAAACTGTTTCATGGCAAAAATCGTGATTTGTTTTCCATTTGCGATCTTAAAAAATTAGCCAAAAATCCATTTGTGTGCTTTTGAAGGAGATGAGGGGAATCGAGCGCCAGAATGAAGTTACACTTTCATTGGAGAACTGACTCAAAGTGCTTTCTCTCAGCCATGTGTAGCGTGTGTGTGTGTGTGTGTGTGGATGAGAGAGAGAACGAGTGAGTGACTCACATGGCAGCGTAATGGAAATTTGTTCATTGCTCTCCAGGCAGATGTTGTGTCTGGTTCAGAGAGTACAACAGCTCCTGGTTGCCATGGTGTCAGCAGACATGTTCTTACCAACGAGACTGAATCTCACGTGTGTTAACTATTAAAGCAACACATGGCCTTCGTCTTGACTTTTTCTATGTTGCAGTGCTATAAAGCACAGCAGTACGGTTTCTGAAGTAAATTCTGAAAGTGTCTTATCCTCACCAAGGCTGCATTTATTTGATGAAAAATAAAACAAAAACAGCAACATTGCGAAATATTGTTACAGTTTAAAATAACTGTTTTCTATTTGAATATTTCTGATTTGGAAGAAATATTTCTTATTGTTATCAATGTAAAAAATAGTTAATATTTTTATGAAAACCATGATACATTTTTTCAAAAGAGCATTCACATTTTGTTACATAATGTAAAGTAATTTTTTAAAATAAAGTCATTTTTGATCAAATTAATGCATCTTTGGCTTGCTGAATAAAAGTGTTAATTAAAAAAAAAATCTGACCCTAAACTTTTGTATATATAATTATTTCAGAATAAACTTAAAATATATTAATATATTAATACTTATAATTATGGACTGTAATTAGTTGCACTTTCTTTGATTCAATTACATCATTTGCAGTGTGTGATGAGTACTGTAGATAATTCTTTAAATAATTTAAGTACACACATTTTATATTTTTATTTATTTATTTATTTTTAATTTCTTTTCATCAGAGTTTTTAACACTGTGCTCAGAGCTCCTTACTGAAGTTGATTTTTAAAATCCCTATGGAGAAAATGCATGGGAAAAAATACTTCCACAATCAAAGTGGTCAGTGTTGTGCGGTTGGGTTAGTTGGCCGCTCTGTGATTTAGGTCAGCCATTCAGATATTATACTTAAAAGCCATTTCTAAATATATCATGTCAAATCACATAGATTTATCGCTCTTTGAGGAATATTAACAGTAATTGTCATTTTCTCTGTCTCCACAGCCTCTCCACACCCTAACCTCGGTGGGAAGCCGTGTTTGAAGCTGAAGGTGTACGTCAAGCCTACCAGTAAGTATATCCCAGTGTCTGCTCTCTGTCCATTTGTGTTATTTATGGTCATACTTGCAAATCAGTACCAGGAATCTCACATCCCAGTCCTCGTGTCCAGCTTGATTTAACCCCGCAGGTCAACCCTGGGAATTCTAGGGACACCTGTATTAACTCCAGTGATGGGTGAAATGCTTAGCTTTAATGCAGTAGAAAGGAATTGTCTGAATAACAAAGTGATTTCTGTTGTCCACTAAACTAAAATGTAAGCTTAGATTTTAGTTTTTTTTTAACATGAGATGTATAACATTATAGCATGAGAACACCATGTGCCAATTTTACGTCCACACACTTAAGAACACCTGTTAGAGCAGAATTCACCCAAAAGAAGCTTTTTGTGCAGAACACATCAGCTCTCCATTAGCTGAGCCGCTGAGTGATTTGTGGTAATTGCTAAAGGAATTTTTATGTATCTGAAGAGCAGACAGAAAACTGTTTCATGGCAAAAATCGTGATTTGTTTTCCATTTGCGATCTTAAAAAATTAGCCAAAAATCCATTTGTGTGCTTTTGAAGGAGATGAGGGGAATCGAGCGCCAGAATGAAGTTACACTTTCATTGGAGAACTGACTCAAAGTGCTTTCTCTCAGCCATGTGTAGCGTGTGTGTGTGTGTGTGTGTGGATGAGAGAGAGAACGAGTGAGTGACTCACATGGCAGCGTAATGGAAATTTGTTCATTGCTCTCCAGGCAGATGTTGTGTCTGGTTCAGAGAGTACAACAGCTCCTGGTTGCCATGGTGTCAGCAGACATGTTCTTACCAACGAGACTGAATCTCACGTGTGTTAACTATTAAAGCAACACATGGCCTTCGTCTTGACTTTTTCTATGTTGCAGTGCTATAAAGCACAGCAGTACGGTTTCTGAAGTAAATTCTGAAAGTGTCTTATCCTCACCAAGGCTGCATTTATTTGATGAAAAATAAAACAAAAACAGCAACATTGCGAAATATTGTTACAGTTTAAAATAACTGTTTTCTATTTGAATATTTCTGATTTGGAAGAAATATTTCTTATTGTTATCAATGTAAAAAATAGTTAATATTTTTATGAAAACCATGATACATTTTTTCAAAAGAGCATTCACATTTTGTTACATAATGTAAAGTAATTTTTTAAAATAAAGTCATTTTTGATCAAATTAATGCATCTTTGGCTTGCTGAATAAAAGTGTAAAAAATCTGAAAAATCTGACCCTAAACTTTTGTATATATAATTATTTCAGAATAAACTTAAAATATATTATACTTATAATACTTATAATTATGGACTGTAATTAGTTGCACTTTCTTTGATTCAATTACATCATTTGCAGTGTGTGATGAGTACTGTAGATAATTCTTTAAATAATTTAAGTACACACATTTTATATTTTTATTTATTTATTTATTTTTAATTTCTTTTCATCAGAGTTTTTAACACTGTGCTCAGAGCTCCTTACTGAAGTTGATTTTTAAAATCCCTATGGAGAAAATGCATGGGAAAAAATACTTCCACAATCAAAGTGGTCAGTGTTGTGCGGTTGGGTTAGTTGGCCGCTCTGTGATTTAGGTCAGCCATTCAGATATTATACTTAAAAGCCATTTCTAAATATATCATGTCAAATCACATAGATTTATCGCTCTTTGAGGAATATTAACAGTAATTGTCATTTTCTCTGTCTCCACAGCCTCTCCACACCCTAACCTCGGTGGGAAGCCGTGTTTGAAGCTGAAGGTGTACGTCAAGCCTACCAGTAAGTATATCCCAGTGTCTGCTCTCTGTCCATTTGTGTTATTTATGGTCATACTTGCAAATCAGTACCAGGAATCTCACATCCCAGTCCTCGTGTCCAGCTTGATTTAACCCCGCAGGTCAACCCTGGGAATTCTAGGGACACCTGTATTAACTCCAGTGATGGGTGAAATGCTTAGCTTTGTGTAATTTATCTTTAGGATCTTCGTTGCCATCGCTCTAGACCTCCACTGATGACTAAGACAGCTTGTTTTATGGGGCCGAAGGTTTTATGGGGCCGATCATTCATGATACCAGAAACGGTGGAGCGATAGTGTTGCCCCTCAGGGGCACTCGCTGTAGGAAGCTATTCATCTCACATAGGCCAGATAACAATCAAAAACGTTGACCTGCAACTAATCAAGCTAAGCAGGTCCGGACGCTAAGAGACCTGCAGGGGTTCCCAGAACTTCCCACACACGAGCCACCGACACCAGGATAGCCTGCAGTTAAACAGAGGCCTTGGTTTGTTTAACCCCTCATCACAGGTAGACGTGCCAGCTATGGGTAACACCGCTTAAATCTTTCTCCCTCATGACTGCGACGTGTCAGACACGTCCAGAAAATACGTTCACTAAGCCGGGCTTTAATATACAGCCTTTGCATGTATCTCATCTAGACCTGCTCAGCATCAAGAAGGACTTCAACCTGGAAAATGGTCAGAAGTAAAACATGGGTATGCTGCAAGAGGTGGACGTGAAAAGCTGTAGAGTGAATTTTTGAACACCCTCATGGCATTTATCCTACACTTTGAGTGGAAATTGATATATTTTTTAAAAGGTTTGGGAGGGAAGTTTCCCAAGTACAGTTGAGAATTAAGAACTAGTTCTTATGCAATAGATACCGTATATTTTTGGGTCCATGGCTTGACATGTCCTGATATCATAAAGAAAAAATGGCTACACTTTATTTTGACTGTCCCCAAGAGACATTCTACTGACTATAAGTAACTTTGCAACTACATGTCAACTACCTCTGGCAGGAGTGTGACTGTTAAGTTAGGATTAAGGTTAGTAGAATGATTTACATGTACTTGCAAAGTTATTTATAGTCAGTAGAATGTCTGTTGGGGACTGTCAAAATAAAGTGTTAGCAGATATTAAGCAGACAGTCTACTTACTGTTCTAATGACTGGTAGATGGCATGTAGTTACAAAGTTACTTGTAGTCAGCAGAATGTCTAAACTGGGCTATTTCACTTAAAGGGATAGTTCACCTAAAAATGAAAATTTTGTCATCATTTACTCACCCTCATTTCGTTCCAAACCTGTATGAATTTCTTTCCTATGTTGAACAAAAGAAGATATTTTAAAGAATGCTGGTAATCAAACAGTTGATAGTCCCCATTGACTTCCTTAGTATTTATTTCCCTACAATGGAATTCAATGGGGACCAACAACTGTTTTGGTTCTTCAAAATTGTTCAGAACATCTTTTCTGTTCTACATAAGAAAGAAACTTATACAAGTTGGGAATGACATGAGGGTGCGTAAATGATGACAAAATTTTCATTTTTGGGTAAACTATTCCTTTAAGTAGGTATTTTGCCATAATCTTTTATTACTATTGAGAAAAATATTCTAACCAGCATATAAGCATTTGAAAAACTTTTATCCACCAAAATTTGTCGACCAAGTGTTCTGCAACCCACATGCAAAATCAAACAGGAAATGATGTCACAGATTGGTCCCCTCCAGACCCTCATGACTGTGTCAATAAATTTCCAAAAACATAAAATAAATGGATCTTTTCATGACAAAGCAAAGTTAATTCAGGTTGTATAATGTTGTTAGACTCACCAAAAACTTTATTATATTAATTAATTAATGATTTATAATACAGTATTTGCAAAATATAATTTTTACATCCAGAAATATATTTAAAAAGTTTCAATAAATAAAGAACAAACAAGGAAAATGTTACAACGTTTTATTTGGTTAAACCAATTTGACCAATTTTGTCATTTACTTACCTTCATTTTGTTCTAAACCTGTATCAACTTCTGCTGAACATAAAAGAAGATATTTTGAAGAATTTTGGGAATGCAAAAAATATATTTGTGGTACTCTCCCATTCGCTGCTCTTCAAGTTAACCCAACTATGACGACTTCCGCTGCTGAGAAACCCGGAAATGTGAAAAAGGTTCTATTGTATTTTTTCCATACTATGGAAGTCCATGGGCACCAGAAACCGTTTGATTAACCACATTTTTCAAAATGTCTTCTTTTGTGTTCAACAGAAGAAAGAAACTCATACAGGTTTGTAATAACATGAGGGTAAGAAAATGATGGCAGAATTTTCATTTTGCGTGAACTATCCCTCTAAATCGAAACTTTTTCAAAACCATATGAAACCAGCATAAATGCAAAGAATATATTTCTAAGAACTTGTCATGCGAAATCTAAAAATGTGCAGTTTGAGGTTCCATCATGTTTATGAAATCATTAAGGAAATTGAATCTGAATCGCAATTAGAATCGCTAAATTCCTCATAATTCCCACCCCTATTTTCCAGTCATCATTTAGGGGTCGTGCAAGTTTGAAGGAGAAGCCTCAGCTCATATGACAGCCCATTAGCGTGATGTAATTGTTAGCAAACAGAAGTGTTCCAGAGAGCAGAGACGTTGATATGGATTTTTACCCAGCCTGCAACCCTGCAGGACAGCCACTAACCAGCCCTCAATTATGCCCCGCCCAAATGCCCAAATTTGGGCATTCCTTCATCGGCGCTCATGCTCCACTGACAAAAGACAAAAGAATTGGCCAGTTTTTTTGAGAGCGCTCTACTTTTCTGCCAACATCCCACCATCATCCGCGTGTCAGGAGACAGATTCAACCGACATCTGAATCGCTCTGTTTGTCTGCGTTAACCACCTACCTGAGCCTTCACTGTCATCTGTGCTCAATTTTCACGTTTGTGAGAGCGTGTGCGAGTGTTGATGCTCGTGTGTGTTTGTGCTCGTTGGTGCGCGTATGCCGATGTTCGCATATGAACAAATGTACAGAGCAGTCACAGTCCCTTACAAAATTACTAGAAAAACTTGTTCCATTACTCATTGAGAGAAGAAGACAATTCTATCTGTGAATCTGCCAAAGACACTACTTAAACTTTTTTAAGGGAGGAGGGAAAATACTGGCTTTGATAGGAGATTACATGCAACCATGGAACATTTCAGGCTTTTAGAGTCATGGGAGGGGAGTGACAGACAACAGTGTAGATTTTTCTATTATAATCTTTTTTTGTCATACAAAAAAGAAACAAAAAAAACAAGAATGTTGCATAGATTAAAAAAAAAAAACATAGCTAAAAATGGCCTTTTTTCACTGGTGCTTAATCTGAAATGAGCTTGTCTGTCTTGAACTGCAAAAAGATAATTTTCTTAGTTATTATTTTTGACTCGTTTTCCAGTAAAGATATTAAAACCTTTGCAAAACAAGATACATTTAATTGGAAAAGAATTGTGTAAGATATATTATTTCAAATAAAAGTCTAACATTGAGTGACATTTTATTTACCCTATTGGAAAATTATGGAGCCCCTGAAGTGATCTTTGTTAAAAAAAAAAAAAAATTCAAAAAAAGACAAGACAAGAAAATGAATACCAGTTTGAAAATGAAAAAAAAAAGTCTTGTTTTGTCACACAATAGAACGTACTCGGTTACTTATGTAACCTCGGTTTTTCTCATTCACATGTCAAGAGAACAGAAAATGTTCATGTTTTTGTGCAGAAGTTTTCCACATGTTCAAAGGTGTTTACAAGATTTTTTTGTACATACAAAAAAAACCTTAAAACACTTATTTGCATATAGATGTTGCCAATGCAAAAGTGTCTTGTGCACATTGCAAACAAAACAAAAAATGTTCTGGTCCTTTGTGAATTCGTTTCATTGTGTGTATGAAAAAGTTTTTTTTTTGTATGCATGTATCACTGAAAAAAAAAAGGATTTACTTTGAAACAAATTTCACTCAGAAACTGTTAGAAGTCACAAAGTTACAAAGAAATGACAAGCACATTTTGAAGTAGAAAGAATGAAATGTTTTTTTTTTTCATTTAATTTTTTTACAACTTTGAAACATTATTTTTTACAAATGCTTTTTGTAGCACTTTAGGGGCTCCATAGCAAATAATAATCTTTTTTGTTTGCTTGTTTGTTTAAGCATACAATATCAATAATTCAAGAAATATAAATTGAAAAAAAAATTTTTGTGAGATTTATTATTTCAAATAATAATCTTACACTGAGTGACATTTTATTTACCCTTTGATGGTCTTAATATCTTACGCAAACATACACAAGACAAAAATACAGATTAAGAGAATGTATTTCTGCAGTGTATACAGTGCCAAGTGGAAGAGGGCAAGTCTGTGTCGAGAAAGTGTTTGTTGTCAGGTCAGCTTTCTAACTTTGGTCCCAGCCTGTGTCGCTCTCTGTATCTGCCTCTCTCTCTCTCTCTCTCTCTCTGTTTCTCTCTCGCTGTCATTTTTGAATGTGGTCTGTTCTATGTGCCGCCCCGTCACGCATAGATCTCCCACACTTGCTCCCTTTATCCGTGCTGAGGAGGACCGCTGAACGAGAGGCCTCAGGACCCTGAGCGCCCGGTCACTGTGACATCGCTGTGACATCACAGGCTTTGGCGTAAAGACTGACAGACCGAGGCCTTGCACTGCAACTAGAAACGCTACATGAGACTTCATATGAGGGATTGAAATCCACATAGCACTTCTGCTTTTGAGACAATTTCATGGAGAAAAAGAACAAAAAGGAGAAACTATAAAGATGTGGGAATATTTGTGCGTTGGAATTGTTTTGTGACTGTAAAAATATGTGTCATGAGGATTTCAAGGTAGGTCAGCATGGATCGTCTAAGAGAACGAGCAACGTTTTTTAAATGTTTGTTGGAACTTTTATATTTTACTTATTCCCGTGTTATTTTTAACTTTTCAAAAGAGCAGCAGAAATTATTCATATGTGATATGAAATTATAATGTAGACCCTTGAATTATTAGAGCAACGATGGTACCAGTTCTGCAGTTACATGAGTCTAGACGAGTCAGATGTTGCTGTTGTTGTTGTTGTTGTTGTTTCCTGCTTGTATCACGATGCATTCTGGTACATGTAGTCCTGAAATGTTTTTTTTTTTCTTTCTCCAAGTGTTACTATGAGATTATTTTTATTTGTTAATCATGTGGATAAAACATATTTTGAGTTCATATAAAATGTTCAAATGCTCTGGCAAAGGACAACTACAAGAAAAAAAGGAAATAAAGCTTTTTGTTTAAATTACAGTCTTTTTTTAACTATCAGGAAATGTGCGTTTGTAGGCTATAACTCTGTGGAATTAAATTCTTGATTTTTTTTTTTTTCATTCAGCAAGGATGCATTAAAATGATCAAAAGTGACAGTAAAGAAATTTTCCATTTCAAAATAAATGCTGTAGGAGTAATTTACACTTACAGATTGGAGTAAAAAGACTGAAAATTCAGCTTTGCATCACAGGAATAAATTACAGTTTTTAAATATTACTAATATATATATTAATGTAGAAAATTGTTTATTTTAAATTGTAATATTTCACAATATTACGGTTTTTACTGTATTTTTGATCAAATAAATGCAGCCTTGGGGAGCATAAGAAGCTTCATCACTGTGTCTGTCACGGGACTCTGTTC